TCAGAACAATAAATATACTTTTGGCTAAATAAATTTTCCAACTTGTTTAAATGGATTGAAAACCACCTAGTCTAGTTGGAGTATTTTGACAAGTTACTTGTTTTTTTTAGGCTGTTTTTTTCCAGGAAAAGAATGAGATTTAAGAAGCGACGAGGGAATATGGAGATTTGAATCCAGAACCTCTAATTACTATAGTTTTAACAGAAAGTAAAAATACTTGTAACCCTATAAGATAGGGTTGAATTGAAATCTAGTGTTCAACCAGATGCCTGTGCCTATGCAATATGCACAGCATTGAATTGAAGTCAAGAAAAGAAGAAAAAAACAAAACAATTATCCTAAACTAAAAATTTCAGACAAAAAGGAACAATCCCATATAGTGGATTTGTTTATGATGCAGGTTTTTGACTTCTGCAACCTCATACATAGGATGATTTCATTAATTTGTTGTGAGGTGAGTGTCATGAGTTGGTTTAACAATAATGTTGCATGCTTATCAACTTGAAGTGGACTAAACATTTGTTAAAGTTAATATTGTTTTGGCGTCATGGAAACAAAACAATAAAATGAGACAGCAACTAAAGCTAAACTGATTCCCTCCAAGTCTAAAACGCCTCTCAATTCTCTGTACATATGGACACAAACCCTTAAGGCAACAACATATTTAATTCGACAGAGACTGGCCTCCATATTCATGAATGCTCCCAACTGCAATCCATTCATCCACCAATAAAATGGATATTTCTACCAACATGATCAGGTTTCCTTGGGTGAATTTGGCCCTCCACAAGCAATCACTTGCTTGCAATTGCTACTAATGCTTTGTCTTCATTCACTTGTTTCTTCCTCTTCTAACTTACTATTTGATAAGTCACTGAGTTTTGGTTATATTGCAGTGGATTAGTTGAAACTCAAACTGTATACCACTATTGATTAACTTTCTTATATTGTCAATGTGTAATTTTTTATTTAAATTTTATATACAACTCTTGTGTATATGGTATGAATCTAAACTTCTTCGTGTAACCAAAAAAAAAAAAAAATTTCATAGACTGACGGTGCAAGAAAGATTAATTCATATACTATACTACTTTGTGCTGTTTTAGCGTCATGTGAAAGTCAATGGTTCTGTTGTTGCTCAAAACGAAAGGAAAAATCAGTTATAAAGTGATTAGTTATTGTGCCACAACTAATCTTGGAAGATGGGAACAAAAGAAATTTCTTTTTCATTAGGAGTATAATACCAATTTTAATGGTCAAATCAGAAGGGCAAATTAACTAATTGTCCATGAAAATGCTCTTTGTTTCACATTATGGTGGGGACTGGGGACCCAACTTAATCTACTCCCATTTTGCCGGCCACATCATTTGATTTATGGCAAAAATGAAAAATCCAATGAGGATGTGGTTCTATTAGGATCATCAACAAGTAATTATGATTTTTCATTGGGTTCCCTGATGCACTAACCTTCATTTCACCTCAATGTTAATGTTTCTTATTTTCTCTTCGTTAATCAAATATTGTGATTAATGTAAAAGCTTAATTACCTTTATTGGTGTTCATCACAACTTTTAATACGTAATCATGGTTAACATGTAAAGGGAACACAAAACTTTCGATCAAATCCTGATATTCTTTTGTGAGAAGAATGGAAATTTACCATTTGAATCAACTCTGACTTTTAATTATTCTCTTAATGCTAAATGGCCAACCTCGAAATAAAGGAGAAGGAAAAAATCAGCTGCATAAATTCACAAGTCCACACCAAATTCGTACTTGCCCTTTTGGACGGTTTTGGTAGGTCAAAGATCTGCTTTTCCTTTGAACTATAGTCGCATATGATGTCCTCATGCAACATGAAAAATTCAGATTAGCTCCAATACAAAGCTTCTCTCTCCATCTTTTCATTGGGTTTTTCTTTCTTTTTGTTTGATAAAAAAAAAAAACCCATTTTGTAGTATACTCTGTAACACGTTTTCGGAGATGTGATTTATGTGAGGTAAAAACGATAGGTAAAAATTATATTAAAAGATTATTTTCCTCTGAGAAACTTTTCTACACAATTGCAATCAAAAACAAGGTTAACTTAATTCTCTCTCAATAGACAAAGAACTTCTTACATATCCGAACTGAAGCATGTAATTCTTACTAACACAAGTGGAAGAATATAAATGTTAAAACAAGCGACATATTGGGTAAAGTGACTGGTATCTTAATTTAAGGCGCCTATGGTGTATATTTTGACCCTGTCCTTAGTTTGGACTTTGGCTTGTAATTTGAGTTATTGAATGGAAATCAAGGATAGAAGAATTACTAATTCTTAACTGTCTAGGTCAAAGTAATTTCGAAATTGTGTTAGTTTTTGAAAAAAGTTCCCAAAGAGTACTATAGTTTTGAAAATTTATTTAGCAAGTGAGTTTCTTCGAGTGAGCGAAAAATGGATTGGATAGTACGGAAGAAGGAAATGTAAGTGAAAGGTCGACCTTCCACTTATACTAAAAAAAAAAAGAGTTTCTTCGAGCACACTCATTTAGCATTGTTTAAGAAAAAGATGCCTAGACAAATACAAGAATACGTCTTTTACAGAAACATTTGATAAATGATAAATGCATTTTTTCATTCTTTGAAGAAATTTTGAAGAATACGACCTTGTGGGAATTCTTTTTAAAAAGTCCCACTCTTTGAAAATTTTTCTCATGCCCAGGTCAGGATTGGTTGGGCGGCAAATTGTAATTTTTTTAAAAGAAAAAAAATTGAATAATGGGATCTAAGTCATGAATTATGAACTGCTTGGGGCTAACAAATCTCACTCAGTGGAGTTAGTAGATAGAGTCTTAAACAATAATGTAAATTAAGTATGTTACATTTTGGGTGAAGTTCAGGGGTTAATGTAAATTAACATGGTTATTCCAATATTAGACCAAAGTTTTCCTAAAACAGTGACTAATTAGAGTTAATTTAGACCTTACTCCTCAAAAATGTTTATACTTTTTACCCATTTTATTTTAGCGCAAAAGCTAAGGAGGAAATTTATCAAATTTACTATTGTTTTTCTAGATGGTTTCCAAATTATTCTATGGAAACACCCTATTAGATTTTCTAAAATGTTTTCGTTTTTCTTTTTGAAATATTTTCTATGGAACAAACTTCCTATTTTCTGATTAATTTCCTAGTAGTTGACTCCATCCATGGATGGCTGTCAAGATGATAGATCTAAATTGACTTCCCCTTAAAGGAGAAAAAACATACAAGGAGTCTAATTTCCTTGTCGATATGCTGGCTGGATCAAAAGCTTCTAGATCAATCCCTTCTAAACGTTCCAGAACAAGAATATGTTGAGGTTGCGTGAGGATATGGTGAAGGAACTGACTATAGGCAGATTATGTGTTTTTATTTGTGAGCTCTTGTTTGTTAGAAAAATGGGCTAGATTTGTTTTACTATCACATTGATTTTCATATAGTTTTCATCAATTCCAAAAGTCCAAAAAATTATGCTATTAGTTAGGCTGCTTAATAATATTCTACTACAATTATCAATGCATATATATGCTACAAAATTTGTTCAGAGGTATATAAAATAATAGTGTGTGTGTAGGGTAAAAATCTTAGAGGTCATTAAATTATTGCTGACGTCGACTTTTAAACATGGAACAATTTTTCGTCACAAATTAACTATTAAACTAACTAACCAACACACTCGCGGCAATTTCGTCGATTATTGCTCTTAATCTACAAAATAATTAGAACGCTTGTCAAAAACGCAAAGGGTATATTTATCCACCATGGGTATTTTTTTCTCAAAACACTGGTTCTGATTATTTTGTAAATTAAGAACAACAATCAACGAAATGGTCACGAGTGCATTAATTAATTAGTTTAACGGTTAATTTGTGATAAAAAAATTTTTGATGACTCGGACAATAGTTTAATGACCCTCCTCCCATACTACCTAACGTAGCCCTCCACACCCAAATATTTTTTTGGGAACCGCTTTCCGTGTTTCTCTATAGTTGCTCCTTGAATAGGGGAGGATTACAACAATTTGCAGCACAAATTAAGCTGCAACCGATGTGACCCATCCTGAGTCGTTGTTTTCAGATTTCCAAATTTTTCATTCACTTGGAAAATAAATGCGCTTGCCAAGTCTTCAACACGTTGTTTTGATATTTTCCAATTTCTCTTTCTAAAGATAAATAAGTTAGTAAAATCAATTAATGTGACCTGCTACGCAACCAAATTTAAATCGCAAATTAGACTCTAATGAACTGTTATGCGATTCAATTTGAAGCACAAATTGGGTTCCTAAATCATACTCGGAGACATCGCTTGGCAAGGTAGCGTTTGAAAGTTACCAATTACTATTTTCTATTTTCTGGGAGTTTTTTTGAAAAATTTTATTGTAACATAATTTTATAATATATTTTGAGATATTTAAGAGTAGACGAGTTTTTAGAATATTTTTTAAAATATTTTTTAAACATAAAAAAAAAATTAAACTACCTCTAGGTGAACAAAACCTTCCCTTTCTTGAATATTAAGCGTATGATGTACAAGCAAGCATTCCACTATTACAATATTCGGGGCACTATTTGTCACCAATTCAACTACGAAAAAATACAAAAGGGCCCTCTCATACTAACTCCACGCTAGGCAACTGAGCTGTCAACGAGGCAAAATTCCAAGAATAAAGAAAACCACAGGCATCACATTTTAGTCATCAGATTACCTCTCCACTAATCCACAGGAAATTATTAGCTGCCTTCTTTGTGGAAGAGGGAGGATCTACAATAGAAAATATCCGAGTCCAAGATTGACTGAAAACTGCCGTTTTCACACATCAAGGAGACTGCCATTGATTCATTCATCATTCTTGACAAACCACAAATTTATACTTGTCATGGCTATTTCATTCATTCGTCTTCGTTCATTCATCTTGACTATGACTAAGATAGGGAACCTCATCAGCATTTAAGGGGAAATATCAAATGAGACCACATACTGTTAAAAACATCTTCTTCCCATACATGAAAATTCAGCTTGATGTATACAAAAGATAATGATACTAAACTTTATAAAATTACAACATTAATGGAACAAAATTCTCCTTTTCACACAATGGCCGATTGGATTTGTGCAGCAGAATTTTACAACCAACAAATTAGGTCGAAAAGAATATACCCATCAGAGGTATTAAGCAGCTCGAAGCAAACCGCATATCTCTGGCCTCCCCCAATGTACTCCAACTCAACACGAATAATGAAGCAGGAAAATGAAAGGGAGAAATGAAAGAGTACAATTTAAACCTAATCTGTTAGTAGTCATTCACCATCAACTGCAACAGTCACGCACCTATGTTCGCCGTGCCCGTAGCACACGAACCCCCACCCATACAGTCAACAGATTGAGTGCAAACTGAAAAAGGTCAAAACTAACTAAAGAAGAGCAAAGTAAAAGCCAAATAAATATACTCGACTGATGATGTCTCCTAACTTAAATGTAGATGCATATTTCAAGCAACCATTAAGGGATAAAACAGAGATATTCAGTCCCATGCACTAGTTACTCCAGGGCCATATGACCCAGCATACCCGCCAGGAGCACCATAGCCACTGCTGAGGTTGCCTCCACCATAGTAGTCTGTTACCCCTCTGGTTAAAGAGGATTCTCTCCTAAAATCACGACTACCAAACCGACCTCCCCCGCGGCGACTTTTACCATGGCAGAACGAACTGCAAAGCGCGAGAGCCAAGCAGGTACTCTTGATTTGCTTCCTGCATCAGATCGGACAATGACCTGCCAAAGACGTATTATTCTCATTGAAGAAGGCAGTGGCTAACCCAGTTTTCCCTGCTCTCCCTGTTCGTCCTATGCGGTGTACGTAATCATCAATGTCATTTGGAAGATCGAAGTTAACTACATGTGCAACATGGGGAATATCAAGACCACGTGCAGCCACGTCTGTTGCAACCAAGATTGGAGTGTTGCCACTTTTAAATGACCTCAGGGCCTGTTCTCGCTCCTGCATACGAGTAAACAGATGACAATTTCTCTCAGAGAATGATGGAGAGATAAATGCAATTGACTGCTCAACTTTAAAAAGTAATCATGCAGGGTGGAAAACATTTTTCTTTTTGGAATTGAACATAGCGAGCTCTTCTTCTTTTGTTTCCTCGAGGTGGAAATGTAGAATAAAAGGCAAATTTGGCATACATTGACAAAATTCCAAAATGTAAATACACTGGAGAGGCTCTGCTAAGTATAACCCTTACGAAAGCTACCACAATTGTTTGGTTTAGGATTTAGGAACGGGAGACTAATATAAATGCATTGTCTCAACAAAACTTATATCTCCAGACCAAGGAATATAGCCAGTAAATGGGTAGCTATTTGTCGATATTAGCTACATCATAGGGCGAAAAGTCTTAAATCAATCTCTTGCATTTAGTGGTGTACATGCATGGACCTAGATTGTAGATGGTTCAAGTTTGGTCAGTAGGGACTAATCATCTTGTGAGAACACGTATGCAGCTGTAGATCAGCGACTTTTACTTCCCATAGCAGGGAAAATACCAAGAGACAAGGCTAAAGGGGAAAGTGCCCCCTCTTACTGCATCATCAAACAACCAAGGAATTGGCCTTGAAAATAATTCCCCATGGTCAAAGCTTTTCAAACAGTAATAAACCTATGTTGAACAAAGCTTCATAACTCAGCAATGTGTAACTAGTATGGCCAGTCACCACTGCGATTGCACAAATCAATGTCAATGAAGTTTAGCAATTAAATAAAGATATCATCCAAACAACAGGGAGGCTATGATAACCTTAGTCATTCTCCCAAACATTTTCTGGTTAAAACATAATTTGGACAAATTATGCATGGTATTACCTAAATAATATACTAAAGTCATTTTTTTCCACCAGCTATTTAGCATTTCAAATTTCTTAAACTAGTAATAGCCAACATAATAATGCAAAATATCAGCAAGCCAAACTATTAGAAATATGCATTGTTCTTAGCACAAGTCACATAGACAAGCCATTATAACAAGAGATCATACATGGCACCGAGTATGTTTCAGTCAGGCATATTGAGTAGCTATTTAAGTTGGTAAAAGAGTATATCCAATCCAAAACTTATGCCAATGCATCTTGGTTTTCCAAAAAAAAAAAATTAAGCAAAAATTCAACTTGATTCAAGATCAAATGTTATGCGGCCAATATTTTAAACATCAACATGGGTGAATTTTTGACAAGAAACTTTATTGCTTGATGTTTCAGAATCAAGTAAACCCTTTAAAGATAGGAGATATTTTTCATCATTGAGGAAATACTTACCCAATACCCATATTTTAACCCATGTGATGATCGGGAATAAAGGAATGAAGTCAACACAAACTTCCTCAAGCTAACCTTTTGCAGGAAACAAACAAGTGATCTTCATGGTCACTTCATATAACTAATGAAGTTTAGTTGATATTGAAACACCAAGCTATTTTTATGCACATTAAACTTTGACTGCATCTGTTTTCATACGTGAAAATTAACATCTTAACTCTTTAAAAAAACAATTTCGAGAAGACCAATGAATCTAACTCACAATTTCATTTAGAGCAGGAGATGCTAATATGATCAAGGACTTGCTAATATGAGCCAAACCTAATTTTTTAATTCAAAAAGAATTCCTCAACAAGGATAAAACTAACTTTGGTGAGCCTATCTTGAAAATAAATAGAATCTAGCATGCCTATCTTGAACCCCACTATAAAGAGCGGCCATAAAGCTGGTACCAAAATTGAGTTCTCATGTAAAAGATATTCAATCTTATGCAGGGAGAAAGTAGCAATTACCATTTCCAGTTCCAAAAACAATCAGTCACTCCTAATATGAAGCATGGCATATTACCTTTTCCAGGACGGAATAGAAAATAAAAGCACCATCAAATCACAGATTTTAACAGGTATAAGTTGCCTACTCGTGTAAAACAATCAGAAAACTAGATACATCACCACCGACCCACAAAGTAATTTGTTCCACCAACCTCAAAAGAATATTGGTCTGTCTGTTATAAAGGTGGAAGGTTGATAAAAAGCAAAACAAGTTTAAAACATAATTAAAGTCTTGGCTTTGAGAAAAGCATGAGAAACTCAGAATGGAGCTCATCTAATTCTAAGAAAACATAGCATTTATCAAACTTCAGCAACTATCTTGCCCTCAAACCTTTTATAACATAATTTGATAGATACTATTTTCCCAATTAAGTTAAAGATGTAGGAAGCAATTTATATCAATTGTAGCATCTACACCAGTGAGAAGTCCAAACTATCTCACTATTTTCCAATCTATCAAGTCCTAATTCCTTGAGGAACATCTTCCCTTATTTCCTGATACCTTCCGTTTTTCCAAAAGCTTATAGCAGGCACATTGAATCATGCTCATGAACATCTATTTATTAGTTAGAAGCTCATTCAGACTTGGCTCAACTAGTTCCTTGAATTTTCTGTATCTTGCTACTTCCACCTCATGGATAAATATCAGCTTTGACAACAATTGATATGGGCGGAAGCATGTGAAAAATGGAAAATATTCGTTCACAATTAAGTTTTGCTTTTTAGAAAAACCCAAGATGAACCTATCATAGGAGGCGGAACATGTTAGAAGTTCACGAGTAAAATGATCTCAAAGTGGAATTCGTACCATGGAATTATCAAAACATCATCACAATGCAAAAATTATAGAACTCCAACCTCAAGCAAAAATTATAGAACTCATTGCTTCTTATCCTTTTGCCTAATTCAATTCCTTAACCGTCTTACTTATTTGTCAAACACAACTCCTCCCAATTAATCTTGACAAATTTGTCATGCATCAAGCTGGGAAACTAACTGAACCCTGACTTTTAACTAAAAAGAACATCATAAGTATGTTCATACTAAACTCTAGTAGTTATCATAACCACAGCTAAATCTTAGCCTCAGATAAATACAGAGAGCAGCCTCAAAATTTAGGAAACCTCATTCCTTTTTCTTAAAAAAATTTGTTTTGGTTTAATAATACCAACTTTTGAAACATGGTCTTTCTTCAGGAAAAGTGTTTTCAGTGAAAAAATCAAGGGCAGGAATGATGCATTGGATCTAAGCATTGATAGTGGAGATGCCGATTTTGCATTATTTTACTAGAAAACTTAAAAGGAAGAATGGAGAATATAATCACAAAGTAAAGTACAAGACCAAACGTAAGACCAAACAGTGCGCATTCAGCAGATGCCATTGCAATTACTGTGAAGAAAATTAAACATGGGAAAAGCCACAGGCTGAAATGCAGACATAATAAGTGAGGAAAGATTAATCCCAGCAGTGCAATATCTACCACTAAAAGAGCCATACATACCTGCTGTGTTCTGTCACCATGAATAGCAGTAGCAGGGAAACTATTCACACACAGCCAATGTTCCAGAGCATCAGCTCCCTTTTTCGTCTCCACAAAAACCAATGTAAGAGCTTGCTGAAAAATGAACACAGAATGATCAACTTAACTGCATTGTGATTCCTAATGATGATCACACCAACTTCGCAATAGCCAAGTAAAATAGAGATGAAGCGACATGCTTGCAAACAGAGGGAGGAAAACAAACTAGCTTAAGGATCATATAACCTATCCTCATTGTTTCACAAAGAAAGATGTGAAATATTAAAACCATGACATACAAAAATCTACAGAAATCTTGATCAAAGGAGGCATGCAGAGTACCCAATAAAATGATAAACATAATTACAGCACTTGATCATCTTTCAAGGACATATGTGATACACAAAATGGTAATTGGTGACGCCAAAACAGATTTCCAATAAAAGATGCTGATCTTTTAACAGAAAAAGAATAAAAAAAACTTTTTGTTTATCTTTTCATTGGCAAAACATCAAAATTTTCCTTTCCGTTTATCTTTTCATTGGCAAACAAAATTTCAACGTGCAACTCAACTAAGTGAGATACGCCCTCCATTGCACAGATTTTAAACCTCAAAGAAATAACCAAAAATGAATAAAATAATTTAAAAATAAATAACCCTTATGCTCAACAGTAACATGTATACCCCCTCTAAATCAATTCTCGAACACCCAATTACAAGAGCACAAAAATTAGAAGTTTCCAGCTTGGTATTTGACTTGTTACTTGAAAAAAAACATTACTGCTTCAAAATAAAGTATCTCGGCAGATTCTAATTGCCAGTGTCCAAGGAGAGGTGAACAACTTATAGTTGCTATCCATCATGACAAAAAAAGTAACCCTGGCAAAAAAGCAGTTTCCACATTTAAAACTGTTTACATTGCACACATAATTGTAACTAAGCGCAATTGAAAGAGCTCAAAAATGCTTTAAATGAATGAAAAGGGTTTTAAAAAAAACCTTATTCATCTCCACCATAAACTCCCAATACTAGTGACTGCAGCATTACCTTGCCATGAACACCATTTGCCCTCTGCGCATGAAGCAGATCCATAAGATGGCTTCTCTTGTCAGACTCGTGAACATATTCAACTCTCTGGACAATCAAATCAGTACTTGACCCAACTCTTCCAACAGCCAAAAATACATAACTGGACAAGAAATCTGCAGCCAGCCGCTGCATGCAACCAAAAGAGAGTGAATGAATGATTAAAATGAATTCAGGAAAACATTGAAAGGGAAGCGACGAAATGGGAACACGCATACCACAAACAAAGAAAGCAAAACTGGGTGCCAAGAAGTCAAAAACATACACAGCATGAGAAATAACATTAAAATTATTCAAGCATAATGAAAATATGTGAATTAGGAGATGCTTTATAACCAGAGGAAGAGGAAAGAAAAACTCAATAAACTTCCATTAAACCATGCATAAAATGCAGAACCTATTTTGCTTGTAACAAAAGAAGAGTTCTTAATGAATATCTGCATATAGTCATAGAAACATGCATCCATGAGAATAATATGCAGTAAGCAAACAAATTCCAAAACAGCAGTGGACATCTAGTAAGCTTGCAAATAGAAAACAAACCTGTATTTCTTTGGGAAAGGTAGCACTGAAAAGCATTGTTTGCCTTACACCAGGAGGAGGCATGTCCATCTGTTCCACAATTCTCCTTATTTGAGGTTCGAAACCCATATCCAACATTCGATCAGCCTCATCCAGAGCTAAGTACCTAATTAATTGTAATGAGACTCTTGCTCTTTCTAATAAATCCACCAACCGTCCTGGAGTTGCAACAAGTATATCCACACCTCTCTCAAGATCTCGAAGCTATTGAAAGTGGCAAGGAGCAAAGCATCAGAATGAAGCTCATAGCATAGGGTAAATTTCAAATTTCATGAATTTTACAACAGAATCTGTAGTCATCCAGTACAAGAAGAAAAAGATAAGGCTTTCTTCTAATAACATGCCAATGACTGAATAAACGAACAATACCTAACATTGATATAATGATTCCGAGCTGAATTATATTCGGAGTGCAACTTAGTCATAATAAACCAAAGAGTGCTCGGCATTCTTATCACAACATCTTGGAAAAACCCTCATTAGGTGGATACACCCAATACTCTCAAAGAACAAAGACCAAGTACATGAGAGTGAAACATACAGTAAAATTGTGAAACTGTTGCAGATTTGGACTTTAGTTTAGTTTTCTACTCTTGAATTCAATAGGTTATGCCTAAAAATGGTGCAAGATGCAGATGTTTTACCACCTGAATTAGTCTTGCTCTTCTTAACGTGAGGAGGGCTATGTATTCTTCACAACAGTTAGGAACTCTAAATTCATGCATTTTTTTGGTTATTTTGCTGGGTTTCAGGGATTAAATCAGTAGACAATGTCAGCAGATAGCTGCAATCTGCTTGTCAAAGAGCTTCCCTGCCTTTTGATGATGAACTCCTCCCCTTTAAACTCAATTCCCCTTAATAATTATAACAAATAAGCGGTTTATCACTAAAACAGAAAACTTAAAAGTACCAAAAGCTCAGTAAAGAAACAACAGATTTTACTGCTCTCTATTTGTGTCCATAAGGGAGAAAGAACCTAGAACAAGGAAACAAATGGCACTTCCAAAACCCATTATGTTTAATGTGTAACTGCAGTAACCCACACAAAAAGCAAACTATGCAACAGATGCAGAAGCACCAATGACTATCCATGCTTAAGACTAACATGAGCAGCATTATCTCTTTTTGGTCCCCAGGAAAGCTCAATTCTGGAGTCTAGGCAGTGTGGTGGACATAATCTTTGTTAACTTGCTGCAGCAAAGGGGAACTAGACAAACATGAAAGTAATAAGTGAGGACAGAAAAAACAGACCTGTTGGTTAATAGGCGCACCACCATAAGCAACCACCACTCTCACACCAGTTTGATATGCAAATTTTTTAGCTTCATCATGGATCTGCACATCAAGTATCAAAGTTTAGCTTCCGGTAATAGCATGCTAAACTAAAAAGAAAATTGCAAACATAACCAAGTCTCAGAACCCACTTGGCAAGAGAGCTCCCTCGTTGGAGAAAGAATAAGAGCAAGTGGAAATGCCATACGTGGCACACGTGGCGGTCTCTGCCCATGCTGCCCTCTCATTATACCACTAATTATGGGGAAGCAGAAAGCTGCAGTCTTGCCTGACCCAGTTTGTGCACAAGCCATCAAATCTCTCCCCGCTAGTGAGATTGGAATTGCATAGCGCTGAACAGGTGTAGGCTTCACATATTTGCACCTTCTAATATTTTGATTCAAGGCATCACCCAAATCAATCTCTGCAAAAGTATTCACAGGAGGAGGCACGTTTTCCCCACTGGTCTCCACTGGAATATCTTCATACGCATCAAAATTAATTCCTGTATTCTCCTGTTGAAACATTTCTTCGGTACTATCATCATCTCCAAAAGGGTTGACCTCCCGCTCCCTGCCACGGCCCCAACCACCACCTCTGGTGTTCCAACCACTACCTCCACGACCACCAACACTGGCACCACTGCTGCGCTACCACCACCACCAAGCCTAGGACCACCCCAACGATTCCCTCCACCTTGAAAAGAGTCAACTTGGCCCCCAATACGATCATTTGCTGTAGAAACAGAGCCAGCATAAGAAGCAGCTGGAGCAGATGGCGTTGATGAAGGAGCAGGCCTATTCCTCAAATGGGGTGGCACATATGCTGACCTGCCTGAAACAGAATTACTTCCCACACCCCCATTATTTGCAGAACCAACAGCACCACCAGCAGCCGAATTCTCAGCTGCAACTGAATCAGCCCATGAAGTTGGCATAGTCAAACAATACCAAAAATGTCAATTTGCTTTTTGCTCCTTTCTAAGGATTATTGCAAATTACCCCACACCTCTTGAACCAGATTTACTCGAATCCTTGAAAATGTACTCGTTTTAGAAAATTCTTGTGTAACTTTTCGTCACCATCAAATCAAACCCCCAAATAAGTTTCCAATCATACTTTTCCTCAGCCTAACTTGAAACACCCTGATACACAATTAAAACCACAATATTCAAAAGAACAGAAAAGGTAGCATTAGTCAGTACCTTTACCGAGAACCAACTGTCCACCAAAAAACAAGATACCCAAAATTCCCTTGGCAAAAATAAAACAATGAACAAAACAATTTCCATACAAAACAAAAAGGAAAATCTAATTTTACACACAAACACGCACCGACACACATCATCACATCCATGCATGAACAAATCACATATTCTTAAACAAATTACTTTCAATCGAGCACACACACGCACAGAGAAATACACTCATACACACATATCTAAACAACAAAAAGCCATTTAAAACAAAAGAGCCAACAACCAGAAAAAAGCCAAAAAGGGTCCACGAGAAAACGAAATGCATGACCAAATCCGTTCTCGAAAGCCCAGAAAAAAAAAAATAGGGCAATCAGCATATTGCAAAAAAAAAAATCTTACCTTTAAACACATCGGAATTTTCACAAAAACAAAAATACACACACAGAAATAGAGAGAGACAGAGGAAGAGAGATGTACATACAATGATAAATCAAAAGGGAAGAACAGAAGAGGAATGCAGAAACCCTAATTTCGCGATCGGAGGCTAGCTAGATAGAGAGAAAGCGAGCAAGTGGAGCGATATATATGTGAGGAAAAAATATCTCTCTAATATATATATATATGTATAGATATCTATCTATCTATCTATCTTCTCTCCTTTTGCTTTGGCTAATTTTTCTCTTTTCTTTCGCAGTACAATATTGTTGGTGGGTTATTGTTTGGTAAGTAGAGAAGAAGAAAGGAAGAGAGAAAGAAAAAAGTCTAAAAATTGCTGTTTTGTTTTTATTTATTTATTTATTTTTTCTTTGGTTTCGAATTGGTGGGTGATTTGCTCCGTACATTACGTTTTCTTTGGCTGTGTACGTTACGGCTGAAAGAGTAACTGAAGTAAGAGGCTGAGATTGGACTCATGGGTACCCTTCCTTCACTTTTTCTTTTCTTTTCTTTTCCTTTCTTTTCTGTTTTTTTGGCACAGAAAAATTTGGATGGATTCGCCTCAATCACCGACCGTCTCACAGTCACAGGATGAGTTTTTTGCTAAAATAATTTACTTTTCAAAAAATAATTCCAAAGTAATGCTTTTTCAATTTTTATTCCCTTATTAATCTAGTTATTGCCATGTAGACTCTCCATCAACGGAAAAAAATTACTTGTAAATCTTTTGTTTAGATATTACACAATTTTTCTTTATTTAGTGCCTTAAGGACATTCTGTAAACAAATTAAAAAAGGAAAGTGGATCCATAATTAGTGTTTTTAAAATTGTTGATCACCCTCCAAATTGCAATGATTTTGCCGAAGAACCTTTTTTTTTTTTTGCTGCCATTATTTCTCCTAGCTTTATTCTTGATTATTATATCATAAGTTCCTTTTTTTTCTTGTTACTTGCAATTTTATATATGGTAGTCTCCTAACTTTGAAAATTTTAAGAAATTTGCAAAAACTCAAATTGTTTGAAGTCCGAGTAAACATTTCAAGATACATAATAAACATAGTTTACGCGAACTATAAAAATTTCACTATAAGGGGAAAGAAAATTTGAAAAGAAATTCTCTTGCATATTTTGACTTATCAAAAGAGAATACATTCCAAAAATATAGGAGAGAGAAAATATAACTAAGTCAGTAATAGTATCAAAATTATCACGCTATATGAGCCAATTTAATGTGAGAAACACTAATTAACTCAATAATAGATAGAGAAATATTTTTATTTATCTTTAAGATTGTACATAAGTAGTAAAATTTGAACTATTGAAAGGTTATTAAAAATCCATTGATATGGATTGTACCTCTTAATATAAGATAGAAATGTGAATACTTTCCATACTCAAAGTCCACATGGCAACAAGTAGGTTAACAAGGGAATATATTTTGAAAGTGCATTAGTTTGGGAATAGTTTTAAAGAATGAGGTTATTTGTGGAAATAAACTCGTCACAGGATAGGCAATTTCCTTGGATCCATACATCACTTATAGGGTTTTTACAAATCGCCTATCAATATATCTCTCACATGGACATTACATACAACTTTTTGTAAAGAACTGATCTTACTTCACTTTTTCTTTTGCTATACATATAATTTTTCATAATTTTTTCTTTGAACTTTCTACTCCATTTAATTTTGGGCTACACATTTTCATTCTTTGTTTTTTTTTTGGGGGTTATAAGGGCAAGAGTTGAATTTACAATAAAAAGTGTGTTTAGATAGCTCAATTTTGCCAAATAATATTTTCTTGTATCATAAACACATTTTCCAACCTATCTTTTTATATTTCCAATAACCTTTTTATCTCACATATATTGTAATACAAAAAGTGCTACTGTAATTATTCCAAATAACATTTAAAGTCGAGATCCAAATTGGTGATGTATACGACAATTGTGTTTGATAAGATCGATGAAACTGAAACATTTAGGTCTTGTTTGGGGTTGCGGTATATTTATAAAAAGAATGTTTTTAAACACTAAAAGTACTTTTAAGGTGTATGATAATTAATTTTTCGTAACTCAAGGAACCAATTTTAGTAGCTTAAAAGCACACTTGTTAAAAGTACTTGTGTTAGATGTGCTTTTTTATAAGAAATCGCAATCACAAACGGGCCCTTAATTCAAGAAGGAGAGCTTTATAAACAATTTAAAATTCTTTCAAATTTGTTCTACATATACAATCCACACTTTTGCTTCAGTTTTTCTTCTCCACTTAATTTTCAGTTACTTTTTTTTTCATTTTGTTGTTAGACTTGCACTCTTAGGTTAACTAAGAGTTAAATTTGCAATTAGTTTGAAGAATTGGTGATATGACAATAGATGGTTGGTGACGTATACAACGGTTGAGCTGGTAATGTACACGGAAGTGAAACATTTACTTTGAGAAAGCAAACTTGTACCCAAATTTACCAACTTTCAAACTTTTGACATATACATTCCACAAATTTTCTTGGTTTTTCTGCTCTATTTAATTTTCAGTTACTCCTTTTTCATTTTCGTGTATAAGGGCAATACGCTATTATAGTATTTTATAGGGTAAAAAACAAAAAAAAAATCCTGTGGTAAATCTAATACACAGAAAAGCCCCCTATGGTTTCAAAATATACAATACGACACATCATCCTTTGAACTAAATTGTAAAGGTGACGGAATCCGTTAAATTTAACGGAAATAACTTATTGGAACCTAAAAAAAAAAATTTATACCTAATTTTTATCAAATATACATATTCTACCCCTTAACCCTCAATTCTCTCTATTTAAAGAATAAAACAAATGATTTTTTTGAGCTATTTTTTGCTTAATTATATCAGGGCATTTTGGTCATTTCGTCCATTTTCGTTAAGTTTAACGGATTCCGTCACCTTTACAATTTAGTTCAAAGTATGAGGGGTCGTGTTGTATATTTTGAAACCATGGGAGATTTTTCTGTGTATTAGGTTTATTATAAGGGTTTTTTTTGTTTTTACCCTATTTTATATCAAAAGCTAAATATCGTCACATTTAAAGTCGGGATAAGAGTTAATGATATGGCAATAGGTGATTAGTGACATGTACAACAATATTTAGATTGGTATTATGGACAGAGCAAAAACATTTGCCTTAAGAAGGTGAGCTTCATATATAATTTTAAAAACTCAATGATTTTCAAAAGAAATTCTTGAGGGAACAAAAACCCTCATCGCCCCTTAATCTTGCTCTTAATTACTGTATTTATTACTTATATCAATTAGATTTTTGTATGCCAGTAATGTGAGGATGTAATGTTAGTGAAAGATTAGATTAGGGTGAGTTAAGTTTATAAGTTGAAGGAAAAAAAGGATCTTTGAAATGTAGGATGCATAGTTTATAAAGTACTACCTATAAATTTTCATTCATTATAAACTTTAATAGCATGGGCATCAATAAAACTGGGAGGCAATTAAACAATGAATTTGTCAAGATTCATTATGTGAAAAATTGACAGCTTATTGACCAAAAAGCTTGTCAGTGATGCTTAGATTTATTCATGACATGGTCCTACTTCAAATTAAACACATGTTGCAAGTTAATATGAGACTCATTTATTCAATGAAGTAATTCAATGAAGCAGAGAAAAATATTGGGCGCTTTAAGTGATGTGGCAATTAATTTTGATCCCACGTATTGATACTTCAAGCTAATCGGTCCATGTTGCGTATTAAATGAAAGGGTTAGTTGCTAAACACCTATAAACCTCCAACCATTGATTTTTTTCACAATTTACTTGTTGCTGATGGAATTTAGTGTGCAAAAAGTCATTATGTGCCTAGATTTAGGTTTGTGACCAAAATACCTTTCTTTCTCTGGATTTCCTTCTTACACCAATTAATATACTACATTCCACGCAACTTATCATGTATATACATATACTAACAATTACTATTTTCTCTTGCATTTATACATTTTTGCTGGTTAATTCTTATATTTCTAAAATTCTAACACCTTAGACCGTAAATATATATATATATATTTGTTTGTGTGTGTGTGTTGCGTGCTTATATATGTTGTGTGTGCTCTTCTATTTTGTGCCCTAAGACCACATCATTAGAGGTGGATCCTAGTGTTTGTTGTTCGAACAAATTTACAATATTTTCACCGAAGTTTCTTGAATGTAGTGGGTGTATTTTGTATGCTTATCCTATTCCCTAAAGGCACAAATATATATATATATATCATACACACACACATATATACACATATATACATATATATGTGTGTATATATGCATGTATGTATAGGCTTCTTCTTTATCTATCCAACCTATCTATCTTCCACGCAAATATATAAAAAAAAACCTTGATAATGTATAGATGAAGGATATTTGACCATTTAATTAAATCCAATGGTATTAATTACTTTTTGAAACTACCCCGGTGACAAGTTGGTTAGATTATATTGAGAAAAAATGGCACTTCAAGAGTCTATAGTGCTAAAATTGATAATTTGAGGCACTTTGCGACTAAAGAAAATTTTAGAGAGTGATTTGCAATTATACTTAATTAAATACTCTGGAATAAGGTTCAATTTGGAGGTATTAAGTGCTTATTCTATTATATTTATTTGACAAAATTTCCTTGTCTTTGAATTCACTAAGAGCCACTTCATTTCTATACAAAATTTTGAATGAAAGTTTGATCACTTAATTTGCGGAATGTTTGAAGTAATGTAATAATATTCTTTCAAAATTATTGTACATACCTACAATCTTTCACACACAGTCTCTTTATTACATACACACACTTTCAGCCATACACACACACACTCTCTCTCTCTCTCTCTCTCCCTCACACACATACATACTTTATCTCTTTCTCTCACAAACATACACACTTTCTCTCTCTTAGACACACACAACTCTTCTCTCTCTCTCTCTCACATGTTTTCATACATATACATATATTCTTTCACATGCACACATATTTTCTCTCACTCTCTCACACACACTTACACTTTCTTTCTGTTTCTCTCACACACACGTACGTACACAAATATACATTTTTTTAGCATTCTTTATTTAAACATAGTTGCTTATTATACATATACACATGCATTTTTTTTTTATCTCAAACACACATTTGCATAAAAATACTATCTCTTTTCGTATTGGAATTTCAGTTTAACAATATTAATAAGTGTTACTTAAAACTAATCTAATAAAATAGTAAAACAATGTTATTGGTATTAAGCTATATAA